AAAAAGAACAGGCTTCTGCTCGTGAAACCATGTGTCCCAGAAATAATATTTCTTTCCCATGACTCATCCCCAAGCTCCAGTCTCAAGAATGCCTGTGTTATTTATTTATTTATTTATGTGTTCACATTTCCAAAATCTAACTATAGGCATCCATCCTGGGCAACTATCTCTCACATTAAAGCCACAAGAAACAAAGGACTCCCATAAATATATCCACCCTAGTCCACTTCCTCCCCGGCAGCCTTAGAGAAAGGAGAGAATAGATAGGCTTTGCAGCATACCTGGAAGGTTAACAAATCTGGCTCTGGCAGACAAAATGGGGAGTGAGTTTAGGGTGAACAGATAGCAAATGTGAAAAATTGGGCAGGGGGTGGGGGGTAATAGGAGCCCATATTAAAAAAAGCCTCAAAATCAGGACTGTCCCTATCAAATCAGGACATGTGGTCACCATAAGCGAGTTCTAAAACTGAGGGCCTTTCACGGAACATGCCCTTCAGGAAGCTCCCTCTCCTCACGTCTGGTGATCTCAGCTGGTGTACTATGGCATAGGGATAGAGGAGATCTCTCAGATAACTTGATCCCATCCCATTTAGGGCTTTATATCATCAGATGTAACCTTGCTAGACTGGCAACTCTGGATTTCCAGACCCGTGCCCAGATACCCTCTCCATGATGCTAAGAGAGAAACTGAACCCTTGGCACTAATAGGAATGAATGGGAAAAAAGGCTGACATTTGGATTTTCAGTTTATATTTGGACCCTGAATCTAAATATCACATAATCCAAATATCAACCAATTCATTGGGCCCAGTCCCTTCAAGCAAAACCTAGAATGTGTACATGGTGGTGGTACAGTTAGCTAGTTCACCAGGTGGACTGATGTTCCCACTACATAATTCACGTGCACCACCCATACAAGACATGTTTATGCATTTTGATATACTACACTCATTTGCTGATAGAAGAGCTCATTTCTCTAGTGTGGCATTCAAACACTCCATCAGGAAGCTAAGCACTTGATGCTATCTCCAGAGTAACCTCTCAGAGAGGAACAAAAAGATCCATAGGAGAAAAATCTCCCCACATGTAGAAAATGGCCACTATAATATATGGGACAAATATTTCTCAGAGTGCCATTTCCCTATTTAACTAGTAGAGCTATTTCACCAGTAGTTATTTTTAGGAAGAAATTTGCAAGATCTACTAATCAGGATCAAAGACCCACATCCCTAACCTACCTCAAAGAAGCATCAGTTTCAAGGTAAACAGGAAACTACAGTTTCTACATGAGACTACTACTAATATTAGCACCATACAAGGTGAAAGAAAGAGTCCGGATGAGAGCCCATCCTTTTTCTGATGCACTCTGCATATGGACATTCATTCACACAAAATTTTGCTTGCACAAATGTTTGCAACAGTGAACTTAAAGGGGGTGAGAGAACGTGATGAACCAAAATACTGTTTCTAATTCTCTAAACTGTTCAGATACCTTTTCCCCGTTATTTGCCCCATTCTATTGACTACTAATGGAGCCAACAGAAACAGAGATTATTTGATTTTGGCTGCATCCTGAGCTACATGTACTTCCCAAAAATAGATTGGCTAGCAGTGGTCAGGATTTAAGCACAGACCCTGGGAAATGACTAATTCACAGCCTTAATTCATAATGTGCTTAAGATGAACTAAATTAAACTTTTCTTTAGCTTGATGCGTCATTCTTTCTAGGATAGAATGGGAAAATTCCTTCATCATGTTACCTCCCAGCTATGGATTTGAAGCAGTTGGGACCTACTTTGGATTAGACAGCAGTTTCTGAAATACTAACTACAGGGCTATCAGTTGATCCCTGGAGTATTAGCAGATCATGCACAGTTTGTAGCTAACCCGCACCCATCATGCTCATGTATATATATTTCTCCACTCTGCCTAGGCATGTTGTGGGTAACTGCAAGCTGTAGATGGCTTAATTGACTGCAGGGGTCCATTGACACCCTGCAGTTAGTGTTCTGGAAACTGCAGTCCAATCCCAAGCATTTCTGACCTTTTAAATCCATTCATATATTGCTCCCTCATTGCATTGTATATAGTGTAGAACTACTATAGGATCCTTTGAGATGAAAGCAACTAGAAAAATACATTTTTATTTACTATCTGGTACCCATGAAAAATGAACAGGTTGGTAGATTTTAGGGCCCCAGTTAAACAAAGCTATAAGCATGTGCTCAAAGTTTAGTGCCTGGTAAGTCGGATTGAAGGCAGTGAAACTTAAAGGCCTGAGCCAAAGCCCATTGAAGTAATGGGAGGACTTCCATTGACTTCAGTGTACTTTGGATCAGGCCTTAAGTGTGAGAGAACTGGGGGGCATACAAGGTCTCTCGCTTCCTTTTTTTTCGCATATTCACATAACTTTTGAGTTGAGGCAACAAAGGCATATGGTACCTTCAGATATTTATGGCCACAATTTTAAAAAGTGACTTCAAGGTCCTAGGTGCCTAACTTAAGACACCATAAAGGGGCCCAATTTTAAGGAAAGGCTGAGCTTGCACCCTCCCTCTGAAAATCAGGCCTTTTTACAGTGTCTCAAAGAGGGCACCAAAATATTGAAGCATAAAACAGAGTCTGGAGATGATTGTGGGAGAAATGGAAGAATGGGACATCAAGATTAGCAGAGCATGTGTCAGCTATAAGAGAACACTAGACAAACACAGCGGCAGCTAAAATCACTAGTCACACTGAAGGCCAGAAGAAGAGGTCTGCATTTTCATCTGTGACTAGTGATTTTAGCTGCCACCATTTTGGGGTGTCCAACATGAGACATATTAAAGATAATTGATTTTCCAAAGACTGGGGCTCAGCAATTTCTGAAAATCAGGCCTCTTTAAGGTGAATCCAGTTGGGAACCGAAAATCACTAGTCACTTGAAAATGTAGACCAAGAAGCTTTACCTTAATGCTGTGGTTGGTAACTTTGTATGCATTAGATTTAAAACTTTCCCTACTGCATCACTCAGAAGAAGAATAGAGAAGAAATACAGAAGACTAGGGAAGCCTGAGCTAGGGAGGAGGCTGCTAATGACCATAGTCAAGGTAGTTTTCAGGGGAGCAGAGCAGGCAGAAGCCAGACTGGAAGAGATTAAGAAGAGGAAGTCTAGACAATGTGAACTGGCAGCATGGTCAAGGAGTGTGCAGACAAAGGGGAATTAGGAAATGGAAGAATAGTTAAAAAAATAGAGGGACAAAGAGAAGGCTTTTCCCTTAAGATCCCATTACTTGGGCAATAGAAAACTGCACTGGGCAAAGCAGTGAAGGAAACAACCCTATGTTGACACGGAGGATGGCTGCAGGGGTGGTCAGCATGTGAAGGGAGATCTTTTCTCTCTTGAATTTTTTCTATGATTCAATGATACTGTCCAGTAAGGAAACGTCCTTACTTATCTTTCTACCTGAACTAACTGGAGAAGACCCTCCATTCCTCTTTACACATGAACAAGGGGCCTCCTGTCCTATTTGCATTTGATCCTATTATGATCCGAATGCAGGGGCTTAAGGGTAAGTGGTTCTTTACCAGTGTGAACTAGGAATTGTGGCACAACCAAAAGGCTTTGGGTAAGTGGCATGCAATTTGATCAACAATTACAATGAAGTACCTGCCATAGTCATTAAGGGCCATATTTTTCAGAAGCACACACTATAGCTAAAGTCAATGGGATCTGTAAGTGTTCATCACCTCTGAAAAATCAAGCCCTGATTGTCCCAGAAACATACTACAAATCTGCTCTAGACAGACTTTGACATCTGGTACAAATTGTACCTGATGAATCAGAACATGCAGACCACCCAGTGACAACACTTGATTGACCTACCATATTTGCACTGTGCCATGATATTTACATCAAGGCAAATGACAAAAATGCATGCGCTTTGTGGAGACCCCCTTTGGAGAGTGTAAGCTGGATTCCCCCTACCCTTGTCCACCAGCAGTAAAAGGACAACCTACCCAAGAATGTCCATATGCACAGACGGAGCAGCAAGTCACTAGAGCATGACAACCCAACCCCTCCAGGACCCATTAAGCCAGATGAGGATTTTGCATCACTTCCCAATTCAGGTTTCCTTCCCTGGATTGGTATAACATACTGATGCTCTGAGGGGCAGAGATGGGAAGAGGAAGGAAATCCAGTGCTTAGGGTACTAGCCTGGGGATTCAGGAGACTGAGATTCAACTCCCTGCTCCACCACAGACATCCTGAGTGACCTGGGGCAAGTCACATAGCCCTTCTCTGTGCCCTTCCCATTTGTAAATGGGGATAATACTTCCCTACCTCACAGGGGTATGGTTAGGATGAATACATTCAAGATTGTGAGGCACTTCAAAACTACAGTAATGGGGGCCATATAAATACCTAATAAAAATATTGCTCATTACCCGGACCACTGTGTGCATTGTTGGCAGTGAAGCGGGGGGGGTCAAACCCAGGACCTTCTGGGTCTAAATACATGAGCCTCCAGAGGTTGGGCTAGAAGACCCAAGTCTGTTAGACAAGGTTTTATCAGCCTTTATGCGTTCCCCAGCCATTACTAGAAGGGGACAGAGCAGCACCTTGAGTGGGTGTGAGTTATATCCTCTTTTATGCAAAGAGACACTGTTAAGAACCATAGGATCCATTCTTGTCACACACACATGGAATCTTTCATCCTTGGAAATGTGCACCCAGACTTTTGCACTATGCAGTCACTGTTCATCCACCTCCTGGTGGCTCTGGCTCCTGTTCGGTATTGACTTTCCCACCAGCACCACCGAGAGCTGTTGAAGTAGTAGCATGAAAGGACATGAACCACCTCAGAACTGGCCAGACCATTAAAAACCTTCCATTTGCTCAGCTTCCAATTAATACAATCTTGGGTTGCTCTCCCTACTGGTCTCCTAAATGCCACAAACTTCAGAAGGGTTTTTCAGATGCCTGCTTGTGACCCCCATTTCCCACCCATTACCCTTACCTGTTCAGCATGTTGGACTGGTAGATCCGTTTCTCCTGGGTGTTGTAACAGCTGCTCTTGGGCTCAGGGATGAAGCTGTGCTCAGACAGCATGTCAGAAGCAGCCGTGGTGATTATGGCTATCCCATCCCTCACCCTGGCAGGAAGGCCATAGTCCCACTCATCGTACGACACAGAGATGAGGCCAGTGGGGAACTCAGATGGCACTGTGTCTGTATCCCCTGCCACCAGGCTGGGCACGATCCATGTGTAAGCATAGCCTGTCAGCCCCACAGAGTTGGCCACCTCAAAGATGTAGGTGGCCTCTTCCTTAGTGCAGTAGAGGAGTATGACAGGGCTCTGGAGCTTCTTGAGCTGGTTCTGGATCTTTGAGTCTCCATCATCCAGGGACATGTCCAGCAAGAGGACCTCCTCCAGCTCCCAGCCCACGAAGCTGTTCTCGATGGTGCTGCGGATCTTGTTGACGAAGTCCTGGTAGCCAGGGAAGTAGGTAGTGACAATGGAGAAGATGTACCAGTCATATTCTTCCATGATGTTCAGCATGACGGAGGCTTGCTGTTCTATTGATGGGCCAAACTGGAAGAACATGGATGACTCATCCTAGAACAGAATGAAAAAGAGAGAGAAAAAACAAGAAGGGGTCAAAGAAAATAAAAAAACAAGTTCATGGCCAACTCCAATGAGTAGGGGAAGAGGGGAGATAGGCTATACACCTCTTTTCTTTGTGTTTTGGGCAGGTGTGACAGATCTCAGGACACCAAGGACTGTGAGCCACCTTGTTATCTCCTGCCTCCTGAAAGAGGGAGGCTTTTTGTGGAAGCTGGATGTCAGCTCTCTGGCATCACCTGCCTTTCAGCCACCCAAGCATCCTTTCCTCTGGGTTATGCCAGCCCTAACTTTGCCTTTCAGGGTAACAATAGATGCACTCAAATCCCCAGTCCTTGTACATCATTCCCCTGTGATATCCAGTCCCTGACAATGGCTGCCTGCAGAAATTTCAGGTCCTCTGCACCCCATGTACCCCAATTTACCAGTTTTAAATTAAACCACTCCTGTAACCCACAACACTTGTGAGTGCTTACCATAAAATGAAAGTAAAGTATTTATTTTTTCTTAAATAAAATAACTGGAAGTGAGAGAAAGTGATGGAAGCAAATGGTTACAATGCCAAACAAATCAAAAAATGTGAACCCTGGTCTACATTTATCAATAGTTACCTTTCCTCACAAAGTTCAGTCTGTTGCAGAGCCAGAATCCAAATGTTCATGAAAGCCCCCTGCTTCTTAAGGGGTTTCCTCAGTGAATGAATACAGAGGGCATTTCCCTACACTCTGTTATACTGAAACAATCGTTTGTCTTTATTCATAGCCAGGGCAATCTCCTGCCTGCTATAATGTTCCATTTCACCTCTGAGTGGTTTTGGTCATTCGGAATTGTCTTTGATGATTTCTGGGATGTTGCAAGGGTATACAATCGTACCTTGCATTACCTTGCCAGCTGACTAGGGAGCGGTAATGCCCTCATGCTTGAATGGGTCATCACATTACACCTGGTGACTAGTTTTTACTCTGAGTTCATAAAGTATACTTTCAATATAAATAAATTATTCCTTAAATACTACCTGTACATACATCTCACAAGGATTATGAATCTCAACAAGTTACGAGCTTTCTGTAGATGCTGTACATGTTACTCTTTGTGGACAAATATCCTGTAAGATATGTGTTTGTTGTAGTGAGTTTGTCAGGTCCAGGGTGAGAGATGTTTTCTGAGAACAGGGGACCCTTTGCCAAAGAACGTCTGTGTTACAACAAGATTCAAGGATTATTATTGTTAATAACAGAGCTGGGCAAATACCAAGGGGGAGGGAAAGAAAATATTTTATGGTGGTTGTTCTTATTTTCTTTTTGAGTATGGCTATTTGAAGCTGCTTAGGGGTCTGGAATATTAGAAGTAATCCTGGAAGAGAGGGATGAATGAGTTCAGTGTAGATGAGGTCACAGGGACAGAATAAATGCTATTTCTATTGGGGTGTTTTTCTTATCCCTCCACCTGTATTAGGTTGCCTTTCTTACCATGCTCAGGCCTTTGCATGAAAGAAAAATTAAAATGAATCAATTTTAAAACTTCAAAAAGTGATCTTTAGAAAGAGCTTTTCTACAAATCCCAGTTAGCCAGTGGCACAATGAAAGTGTTTCCCATACTGGTAGTTCACAATTGCAATTTGTCAATGGTCCAGTGTAATTTTACATCCCTGCTTTTCCCCAATCCATGTTGGAAATGAATGAAGGAAGCATTTCCATAGTAGTTTCATTTATGGATTGATCTTATGCCTTTTAAAATCAAGATAAAACTCCCATTGACTTCAATGGCATACGATTGAGCCCCTAAAAAAATGGTAGAATTAAATGTTGGACTTCAGCAGAGATTCATGTGACAATAAGGTGGGCCATCCACAGCCAGTTTTAGGAATGAAGTACTGGCCTTGCCTCTTCCCAGCAAGCCTGAAGAATTGGAACAGAGGTCATAAAGGAGATAAACAGGTGTTTTAGGTCAGAGGAAATCTATTGCACACAATAAGCCCATAAATGCCCTAAAACTTTACCTCAGGACATACACAAATTTAGAATAGAGTGAAGAGCAGATCTCTACCAAAACCATCCTCCTACTGTCTGGCAGGCAAAGCTGCTTTTCAACCGAGGTCCCAGCTAAATCGTCCATCCATTCTTTCCTTAAGAATGTTTTTGATTATCTGCTTCCACTCTCTCTCCTTTAGCAGAATATTCCATAGCTGAGCAACTCTGGAAAGAAAATCCTATCCCAGTACCCAGCCGTAACCTGCTTGGCTCACTTTCCAGACCTGATCTTGTGTTGTCCCTTAACCCTCTGTAAGCTATGGCAGTGGTTCTCAACCAGGGGTATGTGTACCCCTGGAGGTACGCAGACGTCTTCCGGGGTGTACATCAACTCATCTAGATATTTGCCTAGTTTTACAACAGGCGACATAAAGAGCACTAGCAAAGTCAGCACAACCTAAAATTTCATACAGACAATGACTTGTTTATACCCCTCTATAAACTATACACTATTTATATTCCAATTGATTTAGTTTATAATTATACGATAAAAATGAGAAAGTCAGCAAATTTTCAGTACTAGTGTGGCTGTGACACTTTTGTATTTTTATGTCTGATCTTGTAAGCAAGTAGTTTTTAAGTGAGGTGGAACTTGGGGGTACACAAGACAAATCAGACTCCTGAAAGGGGTACAATAGTCTGGAAAGTAGTTGAGAGCCTCTGAGCTATGGTATTTAAACAACAGTGAGGTCAGTTATCCCACCAAATTCTCTCTCCATTTTTAAAAGTAGTGTTAACACCACTCCTAGAACACTGCATACAGTTCTGAGCATCTCAGAAAAGCAGAAAAAGAATAGCAACTTGAAAGCAAGTCAGAGAACAACCAAAAATAACCAAAGTCCTTATTTGTGTCCCATGTATTCTGTGGTTGAACTAGTCATAGAATTCACTCTTTGCCACAAAAATCTCATATTTCTTTAAAAAGATATATTTCTAGCCTTGATGGTTATGGGGAAAAAAACATGAAAATGTGACCCAAATGTAAACTAATGCAGTGACATCTGAGTTTAAAGACAGCCTGAACAAATAGCTCTGAGACATTTCATTGTAATGGACTGTTAACTCTGAAACCTGAAGATGACATTGTATTGCAACTGAACACTGAAACTGGAGAGAAATCTTAAAATAAATTTAATATAAAAACAACACAGGGAGCTATATGATCGTATTATTCATCTTCATATTAAATTCAATAAAATCCTCCTTTTCATAAATTTATCTAAAGCTGCTACAGAATTTCCATAATTTCTACCAAAGACTCACAGAACTGAGGGACTTAGCCATAGATAGGGCCCTTCCAAATTCACGTCCGTGAAAAACGTGTCACGGACCGTGAAATCTGATCTCCCCCATGAAATCTGGCTATTGTCAGGGAGACCAGATTTCACAGAGTTACGTGGCTGGAGAGTGGCGGCTGCTGGCTGGGAGCCCAATTCTGAAGGTAGCATCACCACCAGCTGCAGCACAGAAGTGAGGGTGGCATGGTATGGGGGGGGTCATCAATATTTGTATTGATGGTATGGGGGGGCAAGGCTGGCCTTACAGGTAGGCAAGTGGGTGACCACCCAGGGCCCCTGGTCACCTCCCCCACTCATCCACACAGCCAGCTCATCAATATTTGTATTGATGGTATGGGGGGGCAAGGCTGGCCTTACAGGTAGGCGAGTGGGTGACCACCCAGGGCCCCTGGTCACCTCCCCCACTCATCCACACAGCCAGCCCAAAACCCCTTTCCCCAGTAATGGGTCTGGAGCCAGGGAGGGGCAGGGCTGAGGGCGCCCCAACCAGGAGCTCCTACTATGAGTGGGGTTCCAGCTGCTAGTCCCGGATGGGCTGGGGTGGGACAGGACGACTTCTTCCTCTGCACGGGCTGCTCCTGAGGTCAGGTCAGAGATCCATCTCCAGGAATCTCTCCCAGCTTCAGGAAGCTCCATGGCTGCTGGCTGGGACTCCAGTTCTGAAGGCAGAGTTGCTGCCCGCAGCAACGCAGAAGTGAGGGTGGCATAGTATCGTATTGCCATCCTTACTTCTGCGCTGCTGCTGGCAGTGGTGCTGCCTTCAGAGCTGGGCACCCAGCCAGAAGCTGCTCTTTGGCTGCCAACCTGTAAAGAAGGCAGCAGCAGAGAAGTATGGGTGGCAATACCATGACCCCACCCACTATAACTTTGTGACCCCCCGCCCATTGCCCCATTTTGGGTCAGGACCCCCACAGCTACAATACTGTGAAATTTCAGATTTAAATATCTGAAACCATTAATTTTATGATTTTTAAACTGTGAAATTGACCAAAATGGACTGTGAATTTGGTAGGGTCCTAGCCATAGAGTACACAGACCCTCACTTGATACATTTTTTAGCTCTTTCAGTAGTTTCTCACTTGGCTAAATGACACCTAAGAGATGGAAGATAATAAATCTGCTAGCATTTAAAGAGTGTATAGATCAAGGAGGAAAAGGACTTGTTTAGGATTGTACTGACACATGGGAGGGGGAGAAGTGACATAACTGAACAAGTCCTTGCCATCCTAATCTTGATGATTTGAAACATATTCAGATATTACAATTAGAGGGTGTGGGTCAGACATCTTAAACTACAGGACTGTACAGCCAAACGTCCCTCAGGTTGTTCTACCCCAATGTCTGAGATAGGAAATCTCCATTTCCACTGGGGCGAAGCTACGAAATCCACACCAACCAAAGCATTAGTGCATTATGTAAATACGAATAGAATAAGATGGGTTTTAAAAAGTCTCAGTCTCAGTTTCAATCTCAATTAACAGTGCCTCCCCCCACACGTACACACACACCCTCATCCTCAAATCAAACATCAGAGGCTAGTTGTCTGTGCAGGTAATAATTACTCTTGAGCAATTTCATGCATTTTTATTACAACAGCAGTAGGAGGAGGGGGCAACCTCTCTTCAAAACGAGAGGGCTACGATTGTTCAAGCCAGTCCAGCTTTCT